GCTTTGCTTGGGATTGACCTCGGGTTCATGGGTCCTAACTATTCTATTTCCACTGCTTGTGCTACCTCCAATTATTGCTTTTATGCTGCGGCGAACCATATACGGAGAGGGGAGGCTGATTTGATGATAGCGGGTGGAACTGAGGCTGCCATCATTCCCATTGGGTTAGGAGGTTTCGTCGCTTGCAGAGCGCTTTCCCAGAGGAATGATGACCCCAAAACTGCTTCAAGGCCGTGGGATCAGGGGCGTGATGGCTTTGTTATGGGTGAAGGGGCTGGAGTTTTGGTAAGCTTTCGTTCATCTTTTGTGTTTCTTAGGTCCCTTTTCAATGAACTTTTCCATTAACCCTTCTAAAGAAGAAAAACAAAAGGGGAAATGAATTCAGCATTTGACCTTATAGTAGCTCATTTCATTTTAATTTGTCATTTTCTCATGATGTAATCATTTAAGTACTTACGGAGATGTTTTTCTGAGTAAGGACTTTGTAAGTACAACTGTAGGATCTTTATGAATTTATTAGAGTGGTAAACTACTTAGAAAGTAACACTACCTTTTTAAGTGTGCTTATTCCCTATTATCCCATGTAATCTCCTTTCCCTGTGAATGTTGGAGGAAATTGCTATCTTGTATGGGTTTTTGTTCTATGGAGGCTAATTGTTAAATCTTATAAGGTGTACTATGAATTGATAGGTGATGGAGAGCTTGGAACATGCCATGAAGCGAGGCGCTCCTATAATTGCTGAATACTTGGGAGGTGCTGTTAACTGTGATGCTTATCATATGACAGATCCAAGGTCTGATGGACTTGGTGTGTCTTCATGCATTCAGAGCAGCCTTGAAGATGCTGGTGTGTCACCTGAGGAGGTAATATTTTTCTCCTTGTGCTTCTCTTCTTTTTGGAGCTAATTTTTTTCTTTTTTTCCTTCAAAAGGATAGGAGGTTTCCCTTCTGCAGTTTTTATTATGGTATTTGTCTTCAAGAATTCTTCCTAGTTAACTTTACCTTTCTGTTATCTTGCGTGCATATTCCATGTGTTATCAATATCTTTGTAGTATGGTAGGGGATGACATAGCATATATATACAAATGATAAACATTTCTTATGCTGCTATGCAATATTATTTGTAGTAGGGCCCCCAAGATTTTGTTTTCTAGCATTGAGGTTTGGCTAAATGATGGCAGAGAGGTTAAACAATTACTAATACCCTATTAGATAAAACAGGATGCTCATTATGCTTATAAAATATTTATCTTCCTATTCAACCATTAACGGGAGTTGCATGGCCTCCCAATTGTCTCAGGGCCGAATGTTTTCCATTTTATAGTTTCTGCTCAATTTTTTCTCGTGCATTTGGGGTGTTGTAGCTGATGTTGCAGAGACCTATAGCATACAGTACCTTTTTGGGTGTATTTTATGTAGTCTGGCCCAGTTTCTATCAACTGCCATATGAGCCTCCTATTCTGGGAGTTGGGAAGAGTAATGTGCATAAGGGCAGTCGAAGCTCTGGATATGTAGAAGTCAATAATTAACTGTTGTTGTCACTCCTTTGAGAAGGATCTTGTGGGTTAGGATCTCGGGATAAGGGTTGGAAGGTGAAAGAAGCAAAGGAGGAGGGGTCAACGGGAACCAATTTCAGCCATCAATGACCTAAATGATGGTTTCTTTTTTATTAAAATATGGATTCCGTTTTCCCAACTCTACTAGTACCTTGTAAGCTGAAAGTTTCAGACATAGGAGGATAACCTGTATTACGTATTTCAACAAAGAAATTATTTTCTGCTTCTGCAATTAGTCAGCCACTACATAGGAATCAACAGGATGAAGGAAACCACTAAGCTCAACAAAAGATGGTCTTCAATATTACGATTACCCTAGATGCAATATGTTCTTAGGAAATGGCAGAATCTTCTTTACATTCCTCTAGGACAAGGTAAAACTGCATGGATACCCGTATAACACAAGTTTACCACAAGAATAAAGGGAGCGGAGGCAGAGAATCTATAACACATGAGCAAGGTTGTTAAACTCAAGAGTTTGGAAGCTTGTGGAGGCTCCAAAAACACAACTTCTAGATTCAATTCATAAACTACGAAGAGTTTTCTAAATGCAAAAATTGTATAAAAAAACTTCAATTTAGCATACAAATAAAATAATAATATTATGTTATAAAATAATAAGAGTTTAATATTCATTTTTTGACATTATAAAATAGTTTTATGTCATTAAAAAAAATGAGCGTTGGTATGACTTTAAAGGTAATTATTGTAAAATCAGCAAACTTATCATACTTGGTGGTTTGTCATTAGATGACGTATAAAACATTTTTACTTTGTCAGTGCATAGACCTTTTTTTT